ACAAGTACGAAGATACAGATAGTAACTCACCTAGTCCCCAGTGACGTAAGAGGTCGAGATGGGGACTAGGGGCTAAAGGGCTCTACTCTATATACCTGTAGACCGGTGCACAGACCATGTAGCTATTTGTACGTATTTGGCACGACCAGAGGCTTGAGGGCTTAAGTACTAGGCACGAGTCAGAGGGGTGTATGTCGTACTAACTACTGTGGGGTGATCCTTATCTAATCTAACGATCGTGAGGCCATGAGGGAGGGAGCGTGGTGGCAGTGCATTGCCGGGGGTATGTAGACGCTTAGACAGAGCGCCAGGAACCTGGATGCCGACGTGAGGCTGCACGTGGCGAACATCGTGGTGCTGCTGGAAAAGGGTGCTGTATGGAGCGCTGGTGGGCTTGGAGGGGGGAACGGCGGATTCCGAGGTGTTGTTGGCGCTGAGAGGTGAGAGTCCCGGTCCGTACGGTTGGAGAAAGGCAGGCAGAGGGTGTCATGGGCGCTATGCGGAGCGCGGCCGTGACACTGGTCGCGCACCATCTCAGCCTTTCAGTGTGTCTGAAGTTGGACCGTCGCCCGAATCTGCTCCAATTTGCCTGGTCGATGCTATGGCATGAGAATTGAATCGCGAAACACGCAAAGGACTTAATGGCATACGGCGCTTCCTGCTTCTTAGCAGTAGCTTCGTTGGTAGAGAAGGACACCGGTTCTTTCGACTTTCGTTTGCCCCTGGAGAGAGACCAACGTTGCTCTCTCCCATCTTCTATCAAAGGCGTGGTCCAATCGAGCGTTGCGCAACCGTCAGAAGATGACGGGATAGGATGGAGGGGCATGACACCGACAGATGGACTAAGGTCGATTTCGGATTCACCGGAAAGGCGAGGCTGGTGCCAGAAGTCAAGGGATCCGCTGGTAGGCTGGCCAGGCAGAGAACCCGCAGAGACTGAGGACAGTGATGCCGAGTCGGGGTGAGTCTCCACGCGCAAAGGAGCCGACTGCGTCCTAAGACGTGCTTCACGACGAGCCCTCATGCGTAAAGCTCACTGTACATCTTGCAATACGCCTGGATCTGAAATGAAGCTGTAAGATATACGTAACCGAGTATCTAAGCAACAGCAGCATGCCTTCTCGTGCTAATGGATGGCTGTAAGTGAATGTTGCACTGCATTCGGATTGGATACTCACATAGGTCGAATTCGTCGGAGAAGTTCTTCGTTATGCCATTCGAGACACCCCTGTTTATCAGCTCCCCCCGCTGCTCCGCTCTCCTGCTGAAGCTCGAGGCCCTCCTAGAAGATGATTCCGCGTGGACCTTGCGCGAGGGGGGTTGGTCGAAGCCATTGGAGGCATCGACAGACTTGACCCGCCGCCTCTTGTCATCCTGCTGAAACGAGAGCGACCCGCCTTGGTTGGTTGACTTCCGGAGAACAGGAGGTGGACCAAGACCAAGGGATTGAAAGCTTCCGTAGGAGCTGTTGTCCGCGCCGTTTGCAGGACGTTCGACAGGGAAATGGATGCGTGCGGCACTGCGGCTCGCTGTTCCTGAGCTACGCAGTAGAGAAGGTTTTGGGGGAGTAAATTGTCACGTGAACGTGACTGTTATAATCGCATTCCATCGTGGAAGTCATCACGTGTAAAGGTCACAATCGGATAGCGGGTCACTACCTGACCCGGGCCGGAAGCGGTGCGGCGGTACGGTGGACGAAACTGGTCGAGACGTAGTAACTGAGAGTCGGAGCCTCCCAATACCTGCTGGGATTTGAAGTCATAGTGACAAGGAGCATAGCACGGGGGTTCGCAGGTCCTTCACAGGTGGCTACAGCACCGTTCTTATAGCTTCTAATCGCTGGATATTGTTAAGGACAGGACGACGAAGTCATTACAGGAGCCGGCTAGGGAGGGTCGCGCGGTGAAGCAATGGAAGATACGCATGCGTAAGGAGAGGCATTGGAGAAAAACGGATGTGAGAAGTGAATAGGTAGATACGGAATACGAATCAAGTGTAGCTACCTGAGTCAGGTGCGATCTGTTGAGACACAGCACCGGACTTCGTATGCATATGGTACAGGACATAATCGAAGCGTGAGCGTCGCGTTCAGTGTGCTGAGAGGAATAACATAGTAGGATCGCGGCATTGCTTTCACAGAGCGGAGTAGAACTCCACATGCAAGGCCAGTTTCATAATGATGGGGCGTATGACGAGCTCCCATTCTTTGCCGCGCAAGTTCCCGGGGAACCGTCTGAACACGAACACTTCTTCGTGAACGTGTTTGCCTGAGGCCTATTAGAATCAGCAAAGCAATATCATATTACGCTCACAGTCTGTGCAAGGAGAGCGTTCCTGTATCACGCCTAAGCGTAGACCCGCGGAGTCGCTGGTCGGCCAAGCAGTACAGAGGTAAGGGGCATTCGCGGCCACATCAGCGAGTACAAGGTGTGCAAGGTACTCGAGGCGATGGGAGAACGGCACGGTGTCCGTGGGCTTCATGTGAGCGACTCCGAGATCGGTTTGTAGCGCGAAGGGGGACGTTGCTGACTCGGGCGAGGCTCGTGGTGGGTAGTAGCCAAGGATGGTGTATCGAAGAGACGGGCATGTGTTGAGATGTTCGTTGTAGTGCCGATTGATATGAGTGGTTCTCCCGATTTTGACTTTTACGACGTCGTAAGGGCAGGTAGGATCTGAGCAGAAATGCAAAGGCGTCAGTAAGATGATCCTCCCTCCCTCCTCGTCGCCTCGTGGTCATACCGTCAACTTGGAGTCCGTAGAGAAGACCCTCGACATCGACGCGGGACGGCGGCTTGCGTATCGCGTCGCGAAGGAGTACCTGAGTTCTCTCCTCTATAAACGAGGGGACCCAAGCTAGGAGAGGACCGTAAGTAGGATGCAAGGTACGGACATCATACGTACCAGCGAAGGGGCGAAGTTCACTCGGGAACTTCAAGCAACGGAAGCTCATTTCCTTCAAGCACATCTTGAGGTCGGCCTTGCAATAGTGAGGCAGTCTCATGTCGTTCGGGTAGCGAATAGCATTCGTAGTCGAGACCGTCCGGCGGCAGCGTACATCACGCTGTGTCATGCCCGAGCATTGCACCTTTTCGTCGAGCGTCCCGGCCTTAGGGGGGTGTTGTACACGGCGTTGAGAGCATCGGTGCATGACAGGGGCGAGAGAGGAGGAGGATTAGAGGAATTGGGACGAGGAATATGCAGTCGGGGAGAACGAGGCTTGCTGCAAGCCAAAGACGTGAGCGAACGGTGTGCATGTCGCTCAAGGCTCTGAAAATGGAACCTGGTCGATTTTGGTGAGCTACGGTGCAGGTTACAGGTGATTGAATACCAGTAATTGTAAGGATGCACCGTTGTGGTCAGTGACGATGCAATCGGCATAGTGAGGTAGTGCTGTAGTTAAAATAATTCAAGTGTCGGGGCTGCATAGCTTGTTCAAGGCATTCGGTACATGCACGATATTCTACTGCTACTGGACTGTGAGGAACTGTGAGTGGACATTGAACGCAAATGAAGTACTACTCACCATCAATTTGCAGCTCCCTTGTGAGTTATTCTTTATGGTCGCATCCTTAAGAGATTCACTGTCGCGTCCGTCGTCATTAGGTATATATCTAGATTATAGCAATCCCCCAGCACGAACGTCCAGTCCGTTCTGCAGTGAGCGGCGGTTGACACGCAGGCGAGCCAGGAGTGTTCGTGGTCCTTAGGGACAAGCGAGCTTTAAAGGACGGAAACACTCTAGTTCAGTACATCACGAACACGACATTAGTTTTAGCATCCACCTGTCAATGAGCCTATGCCTCTGTTGAGTTTGCATGGTGTGGCTTCTCGTAGCTCTCAACAATACCGTTGCACTAAAGTAGGCAGACGTCAAAGCTAGATGGACCTTGGTCATCTTCTCGTTCACTTTCGTGTAGTTTTTTGGAGACTGCGTAACATGACAGCTTCCATTGCGTATGAGACTGCATGAGCGGCCGTTGTTCGAGCATTTTGATTTATAGTGAAAGCGAAGGTTCAGTCCGTGATTTATGGCCTGGGTGAGGTGCGGAACAATGCAGGAAGCCGTTGTCGAAGAGGAGGACCAGAAGGCACTGATGTCGCTCGTGTACGTTTCAGGCACAGCCACATGTCTTTCCATTCTGGTCAAACAGCTATGACTCAGAGAAGTCGCGTGCGTCACTGGCAGGAGAGTTCTCGACTGCAACACCTTCGACTCTATCCATCCGTCCGTCATCTCCTCCTTACGGTCAACTTGTTCGCACGTGGTGTCTACCGCTGTGAATACGCCATTCTCTCCCATTACGCTGGACACCTTGGACTGTTTGATGTTACCCCTTCAGTCCAAAATTTCGACACTCTTACAGAAATCCAGGTCCCGTCGCACCACACTCTCTGAAGAATTAAAACCCTTCGAGGGGGTAACACACAGCCTACAGTGACCGGGTTAACTGGTTTTGGTGCTAGGTACGTAGCTATTCCTCTGTAGATGCACATTCTCCGACTTCTAGCTTATCGTTGAAGACCACTACAAGTAGAGTCCTTTCGCAACCGATTCAAAACCGGATTGGATCCGCCTAATCTCTGAACTGGTGGTGCAGTGGATACCTTGTCAAGCGCGCTATTGCACAACGATTATTGGCGGTCGAAGAGATGTGCCAGGGACACACCTCAGCTGATTTTGAACTGGGAGTGCTGACAAATTAACTACCCCACCGGTTTCAAATCACCTGCGAAAGGACTCTAGTTGGAGGCTGATTGGACTTCGCATCAACTTGGTAGCCAATGGAGCCGGGCATGTCTGGGTCTGGGACGGAATCACGCAGACTCACAATTCAAGCAAATTGCTCGCTGCTCATACTTGGATGGACGAGATACGAGTCGCTTATCATCAGATTTATCCTCAAAGATACAGCGCAATTGATTCAACACCGTCGTCCATTCCGTTCTCCAGCATATAGCCTCATGATTCATACGGTTGTTTCATCCAGTCGCGAAAGGGAATCTTGAGTCCTGAACTGGCACTTCGCGTGTTGTTATGTTCTCAAGCCTCTGCAGGCGCCTTCCGATGCTGGTCAAAGTATATCAGTGTGCAGTCGTGGTGCAGGGTATCATACACACGCTAATGCCGGTGCTTCAACCCTGATGCCATCGACTTTGTGCATGTCCAAGAAACGTCTCCAGTCCGCGCTTCTACGAGCGATGATGATTTCTCCAGTCAGGGCTGGCGTCTCCAGTTCATTAACGGCAATATTCTGTAGTGACTTGTTCGTCTTTCCTGCGACGTAGGAGATGCTGATGGTGTGGCCTTCGTAGTAGTCCCAGTCAAGTTCTGATCGGCCTGGGCGGACTGCCCGGAGGGTAGTCACAAATCGCCGTTGTACTCCGCATATGGTCCACTCGCGATCTAGCTTGAGCGTGTCTACCCCGTCTGGTCCATCCCTGCGTTCCACCATAACCGCTCGGGCAGTGTGGGGGCCTGTCAGCGGGAACCTGTATACGTGAAGAAGCTGAATTTGCTGAGGGGGTTCTCAGATCAGAACAACCCTCTTGTGAAAATGACGTACCCTGCGGCGTAGTACATGTCCTCGGTCCATGTTCTCGATAGTGTTGAATACGTCAACTAACACCATAGCCTTGTCATCCAGGGGTTCCATCAGCAAAAGTGTATAAATGTTGCGGGATATCACCCGCCCGCACGCCCTCAGGCAATCCCGGAAATATCTGGTGACATGTGAGAAAAATTGGGCGCACCTTGTCAAGTTTCCATCCTAGCGCAATAAGCTCGAACAGGTTGAAAGACCACACCGTGTCTAGAAATACCAGGCAATACCAGCAAGATCTTGCTAGTATTGCCTGGTATTGGTCAGTGTGGCGCCCACTTGCAATGACTGTGATGGAAGGCCGTAACCGTCTACCTTGCGCGAGATCGTTAGGGTTGCGAGATGGGGTGATCTTGAGAAGCCCGGGCAGTACAGGGCGACAACCTGTAAATGTTGTCAAATATCCGGGACCTCGCCTCCGATTTTTGGTGTTGGGCTGTGGGACTGGAAACTCGGAGAATACAGGGACGGAAAATATATTGCTGAAGCAGAGACATTGACAAGGCATACAAGACAATTACAAAAGGAAATGGGTGCTGCGCGCGTCCGGTACCGCGATAGCGGCTTGATCGAGAGGCGTGCGGGGCATCATGCGTGTCGCTCACATCTGGCTAGCCTTCCTGTTAATGTTCGACGTCATGAACACCCTTGCCGCTGGCGTGGAGCTTCGCACACGCTTATCGCTTTTCTGTGTCCGAAGAGGCATAAGCGAGAGAACAGAGGTGTAGCAAGAGAAGAGACATACCTCCCTGCATGACGTCACTGTAGAGACCATGCAGGGTTGTTTAACTCGGTAAAACCACCAAAAAAGTAATGAATTGGACACGGTAAACCTGTTGATTTCCACGCAAGCAAATGAATTCTACCCTGCAACCGGGTTGCACTAGGGGTGTGGACTTAAGGCGAAAATGAAAAGATCCAGCAGGTGTGAAACTAATGAATGGCGGGTGAATAGCAACCAGCCCCATGTTACTGAATATGATTCCTAATGCATCAAGCTGGCTATCTCATATAGAATTGCTCAAAAGTATTGTATATTGGTGCTTCTGTAGCTACAATACACATCGAGAAGGAACAGTACTATGATCCTACAAGCGGTGACCCAGCAGAACGACATCCGAGACTAGAAGATAGGATACATTAGCTACAAAGCGCGAGAGGACAGCCAACTGGGTTCAGAGATTATTGTCATACTCACCAAGTAAGATGTGTCTAGAAGATGACAGCATATACCCATGGGTGTGAGTGAATGGCAAGGGGACATACATTGAACTTATGCGAGGAGAGCTTACCGATGCAATATCAAACTTCATACCACCATACCACTAGCCAGAAACAGATTCAAAGCTACTTTCGTTAGAAATACAAAGCAATAGTGATGTGGAAATGATGGAGAGCCAGGGCAAAGTGACAAGGGTACGTGAAAACGTGCATGGTCGTCGCGGATGAAGAAGACGTCGAGACAGTAGCGCCGTTGGGGGCCACCAAATCCCCCCACTGACGTCATTTCTAGCGCGTATGCTTATGCCCCACGATGAACTTAGCATTTCACGATAGCACGCTGTATGAATATCCTTTGTAATTGATATAGTTCTACAAGCACCAAGTTTAACACCCTATTTCAATCTTACACGGCACTGCTTCGCGAACCTGCTAAAGTGTACGTTTCATTCGCGGACCTGCGGACTTTAGGTCCCGGCGCTCTTCACAGTGGACGCCCTTCTCCCACTCCTCCTTCGCCTTCGGGAACCCCTCTTCAGCAAGCACACGCAGCTCCTCGATGAGCGCGTTCTGCCTGTCAACGAGCAGGTTCGTATGGTCTCGCCATATCGCCCCCTTGATCAATTTCTGTCGCCACAGAATTGGGATATATGCGCATCGTCACAGCAACGGGAGAGGACTCACCGCACCATAACGCCGCACAACGCCGACCGCTCGCGTGAGCGCGAGCGCGCGAAGGCGGGCAAGACGCGGCGTCCCGCGAACGGGCACTGTCGCGGCGACTAGGCGCGTAGACTCGGGTCGACGTTCGGCGACGATCCCGTAGGCGAGCGGCAAGGAGCCGAAAGGGGAAAGGGAGAGAGGGAAGGGATAAACGTGTCAAGAAACTCGACGGGGCAGAGCGGAGGTTGGCACGACGGCACAAGACCTACGAAAGCTAGTCTTCACGCAGGCAGCGACAGACTAGTCCCAATGACCAAGTTATACATTAGTAATCGAAGAGAGATACAACGCTATGGTCACTCACCTAGTCCCAATGACCAAGAGGTCGAGATGGGGACTAGGGAGCGCCTAGGGGGGTCCTTATATACTAGAGGGGCTGCTTAGCAACCAAGGACAAGGCGCGAGAGTGAGGCAGTGAAGATGACAAAGGGAGAACAAAGGGCGAGAAAGAAAAGGTAAGGGCATGGCGATCACGGGAACGTAGCATGCGGCTGTGGGAACGTATCTACAGTGTCCAAACTGGGATGAGCTAGGAAAGGAAACGGTCCGGAAATGGAAGGTGGGCGTCAAAGGGAAGGGAATGGGCGGCAAAAAGGGGCATCTGTCCAACGTCCGTGACATTACCCCCCTCCTAAGGTCCGTCGGTCCCCGATGGACCCGATGCCGGGGCGCCGTCCGGAGGCCCATTCGAGGTCGGAGGGTGCGGCAGTGGTGAAGTTGACGAGGGGTTGCCAGGGAAGAGATTGAAAGATGGCAGCTGCAATTCAACGTGGGGCAGTGGGG